GTGATGTCTTTTTCATTCTTATTTGCATTTTTGGAATTAATTTCTTACATCCAAGGGTTGGGGTTTAAAGAGTATGATTGGTCTAGGGTTGATAAAGGTGTAAGTGTAATACAATCTTGCAATTAGTAGATTCCATTATATTGTAGATGACTAGATATATTTTCCTAGATAAAATTGAACCAATATAATTTCTTTATACGATCTTCTCATCTTTCCACTTTTACATTTTATGAGAATATATAAATTTTTAATATTATAATTGATGTTATCTTTGTGAAGTTCTTCAAGATTATTCGTCGCATAGAATTCAAAATTGTAAATCAAATTGTTTTAAGAAGATGAGGAAGATATATTAAAAGATTTTCATAATTAAAGATCTTTGGGACAAAAAATTTAATTACCACCAATTCAACCAACTTAAAAATAACCATATGATTTTACAACGTATATTAGAGCAAACTACATTAATCCCGGTAGGTTTATCACTATTGCACCATATAACACTCTTTATTTTGGAACAGAGAAATAATTAAATACATATATAGGTATTTTTAGAATATAAAATTAAAACTTTATTTTTGTCAGCTGATTGGACCTAGTTTTGTTGGTGTAATTAGTAAAATTTCATGTTATTAATCAAAAACTCATTAATAGTTTTATTCCAATAAAAAAAGAAATAAAAATGGGTTAAACTCCTTGTATTTTTTTCAATCAATTAGTAAGAAAGGGTAAAGAAGAGTTTTTCATCTTCTCATGAAAACTCATTCTTATTTTTTCTCTTCATTACATTGCCATAATCAATAAGGTTGTTTTTTTATCTCTTCCATTTATTACCACACACTTATTATAATATAAGATATAATTTACATTGATATTTTTGTCAAGGCTTATCAAAGAATCTAAATAATAATATAAATGTAATGTCAAACTTTTCTATAAATATCCAATTAAAACTCTCATATTCCCACTCTTATTTACCAGTGGTTAAGGGATAAAAATAGATTTTTGGAAAATAAGAAGATAATATATTTCGTTTATCATTATTATCATATGCTCTTATCTATTACTAATCTCTCACAAACTTGTTTTGATATAGTTTGTGACAGAATAAGGACAAAACCTTTCTTATTAAATTTAGGCAGCTAATTGGCAAGACATTTAATCCTTATTTAGTTTATCACAAATCATCATTAATACTACTAATTGTAGTTGAAATTTTTGATATAGACCTAACTAATTCATTTATCAAAATTCTCGCTAGATCTACATTAATCTCTTGTAATTTTTCTCTCGTTATTCCGGTACAATGTTTCTCTCCCCATGTCTAAACAATAAATTTCTAAAAAATATTCTCACTTGACATATGCTCCATCTCTAATTTATTGTTAATTGTCTCTTATATTCTCTAATAATTTCTTATTATTTGCTCACATTTTTAACATTTCTAATATCAAATGTTTTTTTATTGAATACGTACATATTTTTCTTACCATGATGTAAAAACAATATATAAAACATTAAATAAAAAATATAAGAATACAAAATAATTATCTTTTATGAGATAATAATCGCCCAAATGTATAGTTTTCATAAATTCATTTTAAAATTATATAATTTCAGTATAACGATGGATGACTATAATTTTCTCAAAAAAAAAAAAAAAAAAATAAATATATATATATATATATATATATATATATATATATATATATATATATATATATAAAAACTTGATAGAAATATGCAATAGAATAAAATACTCGAGATGATATTGTGTAATCTTCAACCAAACAAGAATTCACATTATTAATTGTATAACTTTAAATAATATAGGAGGTGAATTTTATCCATCAATTTGTGTCAATTCTTAGGAGAGATCTACAAATTGCATGACATAAGTTCTATACAAAAGCATATAATATGTTTTATAGAACAAATAATGATAAATAGGAGTTTTTGTCCATGAAATCCTATTACCTAGAAGTAGAAGACTTGGTTATTTACAAGAGGTGCAAATACTTCTATTTATTCTTATATCATAGACTCACTTTTAATTTCACCCAACATGTATAATTAGTAAATATAGAAAATTTTTACAAAATAAATAAATAAATACATAATATAAAAATATTTTTATATTAATCAAAAAATAAATTTAGCCCAAAAATTAAAGTTTTAATCCATCTATTTTAATTTTTTTAATATGTTAAAAGAATATTTCTCCCACGTCCATTTTTAGAGTTGTGTTTGATGAAATGTTTTGAATTAAAAAAAAAATGTGAGATACAACTTGAATATGCTTATTATTTAACATGAATTAATTTAAGATTGATTATATACCAAAAATTAAAGTTTTACTCCACTTATTTTAATTTTTTAATATGTTAAAAGAATATTTCTCCCCACGTCCATTTTTAGGGTTGTATTTGATGAAATGTTTTGAATTTAAAAATAAATGTGCGATACAACTTGAATATGCTTATTATTGGACATGAATTAATTTAAGATAGATCATATACCCAAAAATGAAAGTTTTACTCCATTTACTTTAATTTTTTAATATGTTAAAAAGAATATTTCTCCCCACCTTCATTTTTTTAGAGTTGTGTTTAATGAAATGTTTTGAATTTAAAAATAAATGTGGGATACAACTTGCTTATTATTGTACATGAATTAATTTAAGATAGATTATATCAAATATGAATATTTGTATCTAGAACCATCATAAGATGATGAATGAAACTGAATTAAAAATGCATAACATGAGGAATAATTCATACTAAGTAAAAAAATAAAATATGTATTTAGAAAAAATTGTAGGAAGAATTTTACGTGGAGATAAAGTGAAGTGACACCACTTAAAATTATTCAAATTACTTGTTACGAGATTTTAAAATAGTAAAACGTGTGTCTATTTTGTTTTAGTATGCTATACTTCAATTTATCTAGTTAAAGATGGATTGTGGGTTAGCGGATTAATTCACAAATAATTTTTTTATATATATTTAAAAAAAAATATATCTAAATATTTTTTAAAATCTTATTTATTAATGAATTTTTATTAAATAAATTGAAAAATTATTATAATAACTTATTATATTACAATTTATTATTAAATAAACTTTGTGAGTATATTTAGTTTAAATTAGTATAATGAAAGCATGCATGTGTGTACTTTATGTAAAATAAAAGAATAAAAGTTTATTTAATTTATTGTTTTCTTCTGTGGTCCTATAGCTCAGGTCTTCAAACCACGCGTCAGACTCATAATCTGCCACGTGTAATTTTGAAACAGTTGCTTTGCGGAAAAAAAATTTCAGTGTTAGGACAAGCCAAAACTACCTAGTTTTGCAGACCAGACCTCGTCGTTGGAACCAAAGTCTGGCGAGTCAGGGGTGTTTATGTCCAAACGAAGACACTACGAAATTCCCAATTTACCCCTTCTTGGTGGGACCATGTCCTCTACCTTTCTCCATGTCTTCTCTCTCTCTCTTCATACAAATTTTGTAACGAAAAAAATTCATTTATTGAAAGAAAAACATTTTATTTTTATTATGCCATTATTTTAGTCTCACGATTTTGGTGCGTGTCAGTGTGAGAGAAAGTATATTCTGGGTTTCGATACTCTTTGGTTACCAAAATCATCACCATTTATAGCTCTTTTAGTTTAACTATTGTGACGTACTTCTCTTATATTATTCCTTGCTGAGTTCTGGGTTTGTTTCACACCACGTCATCGGGTAAGGTAAACCTTTCATTCTTTTACCATTTTTTCTTCACTTCTGATTCTGTTCTCAACTTTAGTCGATTTTTGGCCATCTGGGCCTCTTCAATTTTTCATTTTTTTTTTTTGAGAAAAATCATTTTCTGGTTATGGTGGGACGATCCAGCGATATGTTTATGTGGGTTGGTGTTACATTGCTGTTGTCACGGCTTTGGGCCCTGTGATTTTTGTTGAAAGGTTGAATTTTGCTGTTGTTATGATTTTCGAGATGTTCTGCTTGATGGTGTTTCTTTTGAGGTTGTTATCATTGCCTGATTCAATTTTTGGGACTAATTGTTTACATTGAAATGGTGGTTGGGTGGGAGAGTGATGAATTGGGTTTTAAGTGCACAGATCAATTGTGAAGCTTCTCTTGAATGAAGATTCGTGGCATTTGCTTTTTCATTCTTGCATGTTTTGCTTTCAAAATTTGTATAATTTTCCTCGCTTAGGGGTTACATCAATGTCTGATGATTTTTGTTTCAATTATAATCATCTGGATGATGGTGTTTAGTTCTGTGAATTGCTGCGCCAATGGATCTTGTATTTCTAGAAATCTCACTGTTTTCAATTTGCATTTTGTTGTGATGATGTAATCTTGCTGTGAAGTTATGTTCATAGTACATTTTTCTCTATGTTATTTCCCTCTTCACGGGATCAATTTAGCTTTTCAATTTGTCTTTTGTTTGTTCTTAGCTGCTTGTATACTCTGAGACTGAGACTCTGTACTGAGGGAGTTTATTTGCCTGTGCATGCTTATGTCTTTTCTCCTCAAAGAATATTATTTTCCTGTAGCGGTTGTCTTGCCAATGGAAGAATTACATTATCAGTGTTTCTGTTTATGACAGATTTCTCTGTAGCATGTGAACCATACTGGTTTTATCAATGGTTGGTGCTAGTTGACAGTACGGCAAAGATGGTGGCCGCAATGATGCTGATGTTAGTGATAGATTAAAAAAAGCCAACGCATCTTATAAGTGGATATCTCTAGTTGATGTTTTGATTAATATTTTACATTACCATGGATTAGTGAGAATCAACTGGGGTGACTCAAGAAGTTTCAGGGTTATTTTTTGTTAGATGTTCCAGTGTAGTCTGGAGATGAAGTAGTTTTTGAGAGTCCAGCTCTTGACATATCAGGTGGTGAATTAACGGAATATAGCTGCTGAGGCATTGGAGTCATCTTTCTGATCTATGATATCATATTGTAAAAGATAACTAATCACATTAGGTAGTAATGGAAGTAGCTTTTCCCCCTCAAGTACAAAAACCAAATTTGCAGATAACAGGTCGCAAAATTTTATGTGTTGGATCCCAAAAGGATTTGTGGCTTGTTGTAAAAGAAGGATCTCTAAATGATGTAGAGTTGGCCTTGGCATCATTGAAGAAGAGTGGGGGCAATATCAATTTGAGGAACACTTTTGGGTTGACTCCTCTTCACATTGCAACTTGGAGAAACCACATTCCCATTGTAAGGAGGCTTCTTGAAGCTGGTGCTGATCCTGATGCTCGAGTATGACAATTTCTTTAACTATTTTGTTGTAATGAAGTTTCGCATCTATTTGGCTTACCTTTGTGTTTTTTATGACATTGATTCTACGACATCCTTCATATTTTGTTCTCAAGAGTCAAGAATACAGTACGATTGTTTATTTGTTATATCTTGTGGCTGCTTAGGATTGAAGTGAATTGCTGATGCTCCTTTTCTTAACCATTGCTTTTTCTGTCTGACTCTATTAATTCTGAAACTTGTGTTGTTTTTAGGATGGAGAATCAGGATGGAGTAGCCTTCACAGGGCTCTGCATTTTGGTCATCTTGCTGCGGCAAGTGTCCTTCTTCAGCACGGTGCCTCTATTACATTGGAGGACTCTAAATCTAGAATACCTGTAGATCTCTTATCTGGCTCTGTATTTCAGGCTCTTGGAAATGAACACAGTTCAGGTATAAATTGTTGTTTTTTGACTTCTTTGGATTGTTGACACCATTAAAGTGATCATACAAGATGACAGTCTGACTTCTGTTGCATCTTTAGTGGCTACTGAGGTCTTTAGTTGGGGAAGTGGTGCAAATTATCAGCTTGGAACTGGAAATGCACATATTCAGAAGTTACCATGCAAAGTTGATTCACTTGGGGGTTCATTCATAAAGCTAATTTCTGCGGGGAAGTTCCATAGTGTGGCGCTTACTGCTCGTGGAGAAGTGTATACTTGGGGATTTGGAAGGGGTGGCCGTCTAGGGCATCCTGATTTTGATATACACAGGTATGTGGTCTGTTTCAGTGTGAATGTAGATGAGCCTGCTTTTTGTGTGTATTGGTCACTATTTATTGATTATGAACATTGACTAAAAAGTAGTTGGTTGAGTAAGTTCCTTAATAATGTTGAGTTCTATGGGTGCCATTTGATTTGGGAAAACATTGTGTTCGCCTTTTCTCCCAGTTTTTATAGATTATAATAAAAAACGCTGCCTTGTTTTCATTTTGTTTCCTATCTTTAAATATGTGTACAGGACATGGAAAAAAAGTGTCACCCTTTTTTGTTTTTGCATCCAGTTTTCAAATATTTGTGCAGGAAATGGTGAACACTTTTTCCTTTTCATCATTTCCTATACAAACTGATAACGTTTCTTAAACCAAACAGGCTTTGGATTTCTTCACTTCCCTTTTTTAGAATAATTTGGATGAGAATCCAATTGTGTGTCTGACTTAATGTTGTTTGAAAGAAAAAACAAGCTCAACGAAGATCATAATTGAATTGATATGTTTTGGTGTAGAACATTTTTGTGCATGGTCACATTTTAAGCACTTAGCATCAAATGTTTTGTTCATGATGTTGCGCTACTTTACAATGGTGTTTTACTGAATTGATTTACTATGGCATTATACCAGTCAAAAAGAGGTTTTGTTGTAGAACATTTTTGTGGATGGTCACATTTTAAGTACTTAGCATCAAACTTTTTGTTCATGATGTGGAACTACTTTATAATGGTGTTTTACTGAGAACCTAAATTGATTTAGTATGGCATTATACCTGTCATAAAGAAGCAGGTACTGAGCTTTCTTTTAAATCACAAATTAGAAGAAACAAAATCCAGTTTTTTTTTTTTTTTTTTCTTTCTTTTTAAAGAGAGGAGGTATGTCATTGTCATCTGTTCATTGCTTATGGACAATTTTCAATCAGAGTTTATAATGTTATACTCATTGCAGTGGTCAAGCTGCTGTCATCACTCCCCGCCAGGTGACTTCTGGTCTGGGTTCCCGCAGAGTGATGGCAATTGCTGCAGCTAAGCATCATACGGTCATTGCTACTCAGGGTGGGGAAGTGTTCACTTGGGGATCTAATAGAGGTAAAATTTGATGATATTCATGTTTATTTAAGTTGTGAGTCTCATGAGTTGTTGCTACATCCAAATAGTCTTTTCCCCTGAATCCCTGCCCTGCCTTTGTGAAGTGTACTTGTGATTTTCTACTAATCACCATTGATTAATTGAGAAAGTATTAGCCTTTCTTTATGCTTTGTTCTGCTGTGTGAAATACGAGAATGACATAATTGGCATGTGTTTCCTTGTTTCATTGCTCTGCAGAGGGACAGCTTGGGTACCCTTCTGTTGATACACAACCCACACCTCGTAGAGTATCTTCTTTGAGGTCAAAAATTGTTGCTGTTGCTGCAGCTAACAAACACACTGCTGTAGTTTCTGATTTAGGTGAAGTTTTTACATGGGGTTGTAACAGGGAGGGTCAGCTTGGTTATGGCACCTCAAACTCAGCATCTAATTACACCCCACATGTTGTTGAATCCTTGAAGGGAAAGACTTTGACCAGAGTTTCTGCTGCAAAATATCACACAATTGTATTAGGATCTGATGGAGAGGTAACTAATTTCAGATTATTGGCGTTTTGTTAAAAATTCAAGTTCTTTTTATTGTAAGAAACTCTAGTTACCATCTTCTATTTGGGCCACAGTTAAAGGCCAATCAAAGGCCATTAGGATTCCTTGGGTCTTGCAAATAAGACACCAATCACTTTACATAAATTTGGCCTAAAATACTACCTATAAACAGAAGAAGCCACAAAAATATAAAGATAACTGCTATTTTAACTATTTTCCTGCTACTGTTCCTGCATTATACATTTTTGGAGTATACACAATTTACGGGGAGGGATAAGATCTAAGTTTTTGAGTTCTATTATTGTTCTTTCCCAGATTCAAGTTCAACAACTTATTTTTTTCATTCCATGTATGTTAGAAATTAGCTTTTTCCTTATTAATTTTGTATAAAAATAGTTATATATATAGGAGTTGTCAGTTTTTCTTGGGAAATAACACTACTTTCTACTTTCTACTTTTCATCTTTTAAGTTATAATTTTCCATGTTTTGTAGGTATTTACCTGGGGTCATCGACTTGTTACTCCAAAACGTGTAGTAGTTAGTAGGAACTTGAAGAAAAGTGGAAGCACTCCTTTAAAATTTCATCGCAAGGAACGACTTAACGTGGTTTCTATAGCTGCTGGAATGGTACACAGCATGGCTCTTACAGATGATGGTGCATTATTTTATTGGGTCTCCTCGGATCCTGATCTTAGATGCCAACAGGTTCTAATTCTCTGAATATTTCTCTTCGCTTGTGTTCATTTTCCCTGAGACAAACATGTTCACTAAAAACACTTGCCCCCCTTTTGTTTAAATTTTTAACAGTTATATGCTATGTGTGGAAGAAATATGGTTAACATATCTGCTGGAAAGTACTGGACTGCAGCAGTTACAGCTACAGGTGATGTTTACATGTGGGATGGGAAGAAAGGTAAGGAAAAGCCCCTTGTTGCAACTCGGTTGCATGGTGTAAAGAAGGCTACATCAGTTTCGGTTGGTGAAACGCATTTACTAATTGTTGCTTCTCTCTATCATCCTGTCTTCCCTCCCAACGTGATTGAGAATTCTCAGAAACTCAAGTTGAATAACATTGATGATATTGAAGAGTTAAATGAAGACATTTTATTTGAGGATCTGGATTCCAGTAAGATGATATCTAGCGTACAAAATGATACTATGAGGCAGAGATCTATACCCAGCTTAAAAAACCTTTGCGAAAAAGTAGCTGCAGAGTGTTTAGTGGAGCCACGGAATGCTGCACAACTGCTTGAGATTGCCGAGTCTCTCGGAGCGGATGATTTGAAGAAATACTGTGAGGTACTAGTCTTGTCTACTGTAAAAAATATTTGCAATATAATGTTTCAAATAAATACGAGCTTTATTATTGCTTCTCTATTCATTATATAATTTTTTGTTCCTAGTTTTCAATTACATGGCATTCAACATGTGTACACACATACAAACTGTTAGGACCATGAGAAAAATGCTGACATTTGTCATCCTATAGATCTCAACTTGACATGCTTGCATTTAAAGAAGGTAGAATGAACTGAATTTGATTAGTTGATAAGAATTCATTTCATTGTTGGCAATAAATTCATGACTTAAAAGGCACTGCTATAACTTTAGCAGAAAGTTCGAAAAAACTGTGGTAATAAACAAACAAAGACTGTAAATATATCAACTTAAATTGAAAAAGGTAGTTATTATTTGTCATCAAGCTTTCTCTTAATTAAAGCAACATAAACAATAGGTGCTGCCAAGTTTGGCAGAAACTAAATTTCTTTTATCCACATTCCCATCATTTTTATGTTTGGTACATCACTATATTGTGTTTTAGTCAAACTAGTCAAACTTCTGTTAAGTATTGATAGAGCCTGATTGAAATAAAATTGTTATTGAGATATAATTAATTATTATTTCTCTAATTAAAAAAAAAAAAAGTGGATAGGTGTACTAACAATGTTTTGAGACCATTTAGAATCATATTCATCTTTACGTACAACCTTTCCTGGTTAATAATGTTTCTCGTTTCTATATCATAATAGCTCTGGTGGACATAGTTTATTTTTCAATGTATAGTGAATGGAAATGCCATTTTATTTTGAAAGTTTTGTAGGAATGGATGTCTGAAATGGAAATGAGTCCAACTTGTTAATCTTTCTGAAAAATTTTATCAATAAGAAAAATATCAAAATTTGTGGCTACTACCGTTCTTCATTTGTTTAAATGAATCACTAAATCACTTGATCATAGAAATAGGGAAAAATGTTTAAACGAATTTATTTTTTAATGAATCACTATATCATAGAAATGGGGAAAAATGTTACAGTGCATTATGAATATGAAAGGATTACCTGCACTTTTGATGGACGAAATAAAATAGCTAACATAGGAAGAATTGTTTTACTTTACTTGATTTGAATCTCGGCTGTGACTTTAATTGTTTGCATTTTTTTTGTGTCTTATGCTTTCTTTACTATAAATATTTTGTTCTTTACTAATTTTGGGGCAATATTTGAGATATAGCGTTTTATTGTACATCATATTTGGGGCGTGGTTTTGTACTAGTATTCTTCACGAGAGCTATTTGACGTTGATGTTAGGTGGTTTCTTCTAGCATTGCACACACAGTATAATTCTATCATCATGTAATTGGCCCTTAACAGAAAAAGGTAGAAATATTTGACAGAGACAAAATGGTATAAATTTCTGTTATATTCCAAATGACAATGATTACATATTTATATTGTACTGAGAGAAAAGATGGTCTGAAACCTAGGAAGGTAAAAAGGAGGAATCAAATAACAGAAAAGCATATTCCTGTACTAATATGGACACGTCACCTTATTCTAGAAAGATCAGTAAAAACAATGATGAAAATAACAAAATAACTAAAATAGGAGTCTTGTGTGCCACAACTATGTTGTGTTGAGACTTGAATTGTATTCCTTTTCTGTTAGTCCCCCACAAGCTGGAGGTACAAAAACATCTAGTAGCTGCAGCTTGGAAAGGTTGGTGTGAAAGAGTCTGGGAGGTAGCGGCTTGGTAAAGATGTCTGCCAACTGATTGGAGGCAGGAACAGATCGAAGAAGCATTGAACCATCCTGAACCTTTTCACGCGCCAAGTGACAGTCAATATCCAAATGCTTTGTGCGTTCATGAAAAACTGGGTTAGCAGCTATATGAAGAGCACTATTGTTGTCACAGAACATAATGGGTTGTTGAGATGGAGGAATGTGTAGATCCCTCATAAGATAAATGAGCCATTGGAGCTCACAAGTGGCAGAAGCAAGGGCCCTGTATTCAGCCTCGGAAGAGGATCGTGAGATTGTGGTCTGCTTCTTGGTTTTCCAGGATACAAGAGAGTGACCGACAAAGAAGCAATATCCTGTAATTGAACGTCTTGAATCAATGCAAGTTGCCCAATCAGCATCACTAAAACCAATGACTTGTTTGGGACAAGTACGGGGGAAGAAAAGACCTTTCCCAGGACATCCTTTGAGGTAACAGAGTGCTCTCATAGCTGCTGCTTGATGAGCTTTGGTGGGTTGTGACATAAATTGACTGAGTTGTTGTGTCACAAATGCTATATCTGGTCGTGTGCTTGTGAGATAAACAAGCTTACCAACGAGGCGTCTATAAGGTAGAGGATCAGCGAGAAAACCAGAGGAGTCAGCGTGGAGACGCAAGGAACTGTCCATTGGAGTGGAAGCTGGTTTGCAACCAAGCATGCCAGTATCCTTGAGAAGGTCTAGGCAGTATTTTCGCTGACACAGAGAGATGCCTTGAGTTGAGTGTGCAACCTCAATACCCAAAAAATATTTGAGAAGACCTAAGTCTTTAATATGAAAATTAGAATGAAGAATGTCTTTGATTTTGTCTATCTTGCTAATGCAGTTCCCAGTGAGGACAATGTCATCAACATAGATAATTAAAGCAGTGATATCAGATCCATTTGCTTTGATAAATGAGCTATGATCAGAATGAGCATGTTTGTAACCACAGGAAATTAACAAGTGAGAAAGCTTCTCGTACCATTTTCGACTAGCTTGCTTTAACCCGTATAAGGATTTGCGTAGTTTACAGCTCTGGGAAGGAGTGTAGCCAGTTAACCCAGGAGGAATAGTCATGTAGACGTCTTCAGAGAGATCACCATGCAAGAATGCATTGTCAACATCTAATTGCTGAAGATGCCATTGATTGATGGATGCAAAAGCAAGAACTGTACGGATTGTCGTCATCTTGACCACTGGAGAGAAAGTCTCGAAGTAGTCTATGCCTTCGATCTGAGAGTATCCTTTTGCCACAAGACGCGCTTTATAGCGCTCAACACTGCCATCAGGAAGCCGTTTGATTTTGTATATCCATTTGCAGCCAATGGGGCGCACATGAGGAGGCGTTTCGACGATATCCTAGGTGTGATTCAGTCGCAAAGCTTCAATCTCACTGTTCATAGCATTGCGCCAACACTGATGCTTAGTGGCTTCAAGGAAATTTGGTGGTTCTTGTTCAGATGAGAGTGCCATTAGGAAGTGTTTATGAGAAGGGGAGATGCGTTTGTAAGAGACACGAGCTTGGATGGGATGCAAGCAAGTTGAGGAGAATTGAGCGGACTTGATTGAAGGAAGGTTATATTGATAATCAGAAAGATAGGGCGGTGTATGAACAGTGCGACTAGATCGGCGAGGGAGAGGTTGGTTGATGGATGTGGCTGGTGAAGAAGATGATGTGGGTGTCGCAGGTGAGGGTTCACTAAAAGGAAAAATAGAGGTGGGGTTGTGCGGTGAATTAGGTAAAGGTGAAGAAGGAGAAATAATGTCATTGGGTGTTGGTGAAGACATATGTGAGGGTGGTGTATCAAGCAGATTATGGGTGGTGGGTGAAAATTCGCAAGATTCTTCATCTTGTGTATTGGATGTGGTGTGAAAGGGAAAACTGGTTTCGTGGAACAAAACATTTCTGGAAGTGAAAATCTCTCTTGTATTAACATCTAAAACAATGTAACCTTTTGTGCCATTGGGAAAACCCAAGAAAACTCCTTTTCGGGATCTAGCATCAAATTTGTGATGTGTGATGTTTGTGGAAGCAAAGCATAAACGACCAAAAACTTTTAGTATGGAAAAATCTGGTTGTTGTTTGTACAAGAGTTCAAAAGGGGTTTTATTGAAAATAATCGGTGAGGGAACCCGATTAATGAGAAAAATTGCATGTTTAATGGCATAGCACCAAAAATTTGTTGGTAATTTGGATTGAATTATGAGGGCTCTAGCAACGTTTAAAATGTGTTGGTGTTTGCGTTCAACTCTTCCGTTTTGTTGGGGTGTATATACACAACTAGTTTGATGAATTATCCCTTTTGAGGAAAAAAAATCTTTTGAGAAAAATTCAGGGCCATTGTCTGAACGAAGACACTTGACCTTTGTTTCAAATTGATTTTCTACTAGAATAATGAAATTTTGTATATGGAGTCTAACTTCTCCTTTAGATTTTAACAAAACGACCCAAGTATATCGACTATAATCATCAACTATAGTTAAGAAATACTTGTAGCCATGAATAGAGCTTTTGGGAAAAGGTCCCCAAATGTCCATGTGAATTAATTCAAATATTTTAGTGCTTTTGCTTGTGCTAGCAGAATAAGGTAATTTTCTTTGCTTTGCTAAATGACAAACATCACACATTTCATTAGAACTATTTGAAATAAAAGGTTGTTGTTGATGTAACACATTGAGACGGCTTCCAAATAAATGTCCTAGTCTAAAATGCCAAAGTTTGGAATTACAATTGGTAGCAACGGTATTTGTAGATGGTGACCTATCATTTTCAATTACCAAGTGAAATAAACCTTCCTTTAATCTAGCCGAACCAATCGTCCTCAACGTGTTCGCATCCTGTATGAGACAAGAAGATTTTGAGATAAGAATTTGACAAGAAAGTGTCGTGACTAACTTAGAAACAGATAAAAGATTAAAAGTAAACCCAGGGACATATAAAACATCATGAATAGCAAAATTAGGGGAGAGATAAATGGTGCCAGAAACGTTGACTTTGACTACAGACCCATTGGGTAGATTGATCCTAACAGGTTTTATTTTAGAATATGTGTGAAAACAGTGTATATAGGATGTGATATGATCAGTGGCTCCAGAGTCCAATATCCACGAGGTAGTGTGTGAAATAAGTGTGTTGAGTGTGTGGGTGGTGCAAACAGAAGAAATACAGGAACAATCAAAGGAGGGCTTCGAAGAAGAACTTGAGTTGGTGTGTGAAATATTGGCCCTAATGGGTGTCTCATCCGGACTTGTACCACCAGATCCAGTGGCTTTTTGAAGCAAAGTCATCAAATGCTGCAGTTGGGCTTGTGTAATGTTGAGCCCATTTCCATGTTGTGAGCTGTGTTGATCTGCTTCACTATGAGTTAGGGTTCTAGTTTCAGCTCTTGCTTCATGGGTGGCAACGGTACTATTGACAACGCTACCACCAGAAGGACCGCTACCAGAGGCGGGTTTGTTGGGAAGGCGAGGCCGTCCTGGGTATTTGGGATGACCTGGAGGATAGCCAAACTTGACATAGCAAACGTCTTCCGTGTGTCCAAGGCGATCGCAATGGCCACATTTCGTAGGCTGAGTGCCAGGGCGTTGAAAGCAGGAATCGACAGTGTGGCCGAGGCGTCCACAATGGTCACATTTGCGTTGTGGTTTGCCCCCACCTTGCTGTGATGGCCTACGCTTTGAACCAACAACATTAACAAAGGGATTGTTGTCGACTAAAGAGGTGGATGGAGCAGAGTGTTGTCTTTCATGTTGAATGACCATGGAGAAAACACGAGGGGTAGAAGGTAGTCTAAGAGCAGAATTTGGGATCGAACCATAGCAAACCTTTCATTGAGCCCTTTCAAAAATCGTATGACAAAGTCCTGTAGGTGGTATTGTTTGGCAGAGCAAGTGCAGGGGATCATAGGACGAAAATTGTCAAGTTCCTCCCAAAGAGTCTTGAGACGAGTGTAGTAATCAGTAACAGATAAGGAATCCTGTTTAAGAGAGTAAATCTCCTCCTGGAGCTCAGCAACGCGCAAGAGGTAACCTTGAGTAAAACGCTCCCGGAGATCAATCCAGATGTCAATGGCTTTTTCAAAGAATATAACACTCTGAGCAATAGAGGGGGAAAGAGAGTTGAGAAGCCAAGACATAAGAAGGGTGTTACAGCGTTCCCACGAAGGGTAAAGGGCGTCTGTAGATGCAGGAGTAGGGATTGAATTAGTAAGAAATCCCATTTTGTTCTTGGGGATAAGAGCCATGCGTATAGAACAAGACCATGACTGATAGTTGGATCCTGTGAGAGGAGGTGAAACAATGATAGCAGAAGGGCTCTCATTGGGATGGATATAGAAAGGGCTGGAGGGATTTTGGCTTGGATCAATAAATGAAGGAGGAGGAGCTGGAGATTCTTCCTCCGTATTAGAAGATGTTGTATGCGCGTTTGCCATGGCAGCCTAAAGGCTCATGATACCATAACAGAAAAAGGTAGAAATATTTGACACAGACAAAATGGTATAAATTTCTGTTATATTCCAAATGACAATGATTACATATTTATATTGTACTGAGAGAAAAGATGGTCTGAAACCTAGGAAGGTAAAAAGGAGGAATCAAATAACAGAAAAGCATATTCCTGTACTGATATGGACACGTCACCTTATTCTAGAAAGAACAGTAAAAACAATGATGAAAATAACAAAATAACTAAAATAGGAGTCTTGTGTGCCACGGCTATGTTGTGTTGAGACTTGAATTGTATTCCTTTTCTGTTAGCCCTGTAATTTAATTGGCTTTTGCTGATATATTAGCTGCCCATATCTCTCAGATGGTAAGTGGTTGATATACCAAAGCTGTTATATTTACTGATTACAGGAGATTGTCATGCGCAACCTTGATTACATATTTACAGTGTCCACGCATACCATTGCAAGTGCATCACCAGATGTTTTGGCTAACCTGGAGAGGTTGCTAGACCAGAGATCATCTGAGCCATGGAGTCACCGTCGGCTTCCTACTCCAACAGCTACTTTCCCTGCTATCATTAACAGTGAAGAGGATGATAGTGAGATGGAGTTTCAAAGGACTCGTGACAAACCCTTGAAAATGGAAAAAGTCCAAAGAGTGGATTCCTTTCTACAGCCCAGGGACGATGCTGATAAAGAAATCTCCAAAGTAGTCCGAGCTATAAGGAAGAAGTTGCAGCAGATTGAGATGCTTGAAGATAAGCAGTCCAATGGACATCTTCTTGATGACCAGCAGATTGCAAAGCTTCAATCTAAGTCAGCACTTGAGAGCTCACTTGCAGAGCTAGGTGTTCCTGTTCAGACATCACAAAATAAAGAATCATCTTCAATATTACCAGAAGGGAAAGGTAGTAAGAAGGGTAAACTATCGAAGAAACAAAGGAGAAAGAGTGGCAAATCAAACATAGAGCAGACAGAAATAGAATCTGTTTACTCTAAAAGTGAAGCCATTCCCAAATCCGAGGACCTGCTGTTGGACATTGACATCATCGGGGTTTCTGATTCAAAGGTTGGTTTCCAATTGTGCAATCATACTATTTGAAAACATTGGTTGAAATCATATTTTCATTTAACTTGTTTTCTTTTTCTTAAAGGTTTTCAGCATGGAGAAGTAATTGTACACTAGATAAAATCAGTTAACTGATCATTTGTAGTTTTAGATTGGACCCTTATTTGAGAGTATTTGTCTTGATGAGCATCTCTGGGTTAGATATGCAATCTGAGCTCTGAAGCACTATTAAATCAGAGTGCTTCATAGTCTTTATCTGTTACTTGTAACGTACCTTGCTTGGGTAGTAAAACATTCAATCAGGTTTGACCCTATTTTGAGGCTTGTAGAACTTTCATTTTAGACTAGTATATATGCAATTTCAGATTGTTGTTTGTTGAAGATATATTTAAATAGAAGTTATTGTCCGTTTCATTAACCAAGATTTAACAAGATGTACATTTCAAGAAAATCCTGCTTGAATAGATCCTTCATCTAAGGAACACATGAATGCTATCAAAGTTTACAGAATATTTCTCGAAGAAGTTCTTGTCTTTTACTTTCTGTTTTGAACTAGAATTTGTTGCATAGTTTCTTGTAATGCTTAAAATTCTACTTTTTATTTATATAGGTGGAAGAGGATGCTGTATGTGAACAGATCACAGCAGACCAGGGCGCAAAACATTTAGCTTTTGTCGTGCAGAAGAATGATGCTTTAGAGTTGCTGAAAGCCAAGAGTCCGTCACCAAAAGCTTCAAAGAAGAAGAGCAAGAAGGGTGGGCTTTCTATGTTTCTGAGTGGTGCTCTTGATGAAGCCCCGAAAGAGGTGGCTCCCCCTCCACCACCAACACCAAAAAATGATGGTCCTGCATGGGGTGGGGCCAAGTTCATGAAGGGTTCTGCCTCCCTGCGTGAAATCCAGGATGAACAAAGCAAGATTAAGGTAAACAAGCCAGCTGGGAGCAAAGATAAGGTGGAAGATCTCTCTGATTTTGTCGGTGGGGTTAAAATAAAGTTGAGTTCACTGCTTCCTTCAAGCCCAATACCTGTTACCTCAACTCGTAGTTCCCAGGTATCTGATGGAGAAATTAGTACCCCTCCTTGGGCTGCTTCAGGAACCCCTCCCTATCCTTCTCGGCCATCCTTAAGGGACATCCAAATGCAACAGGTTTGTTATTTAAGTCTTCCTTTCATGTTCTTATTTTCATGGCATGCCACTGTTGTAATTGTGTAATGCCTGCTTTGAAACATTAGGTGATAGATAACTTATGCATTTTGGCTTATTTATGTTTACTTGTATTTTGGTATTATTCAACTTCTAGTGCATATTGTTGTTCAATTGTGCATGTTGTTTTAATTACAGGGAAAGAAACAACAAAGCCTTTCACACAGTCCAAAGACTACAACAGCTGGATTTTCCATTGCTACTGGTCAAGGTGGCTCGCCATCCGAAACAACTGGATTGAGTCGCTGGTTCAAGCCTGAGGTGGAAACACCATCCTCAATTCGTTCTATTCAAATTGAGGAAAAGGCTATGAAAGATCTCAAGCGCTTCTATAGCAGTGTCAAGATTGTCAGAAAGCAGCAATCTTGATGCCATCCAATGATGTGTCTAATAAAGTAGCAAGAAGGGGCTCTTTCCTGTTCTCTACCTTGAGCTTTACCATTTTTTCTTATCCTCTTTTCACTTTTCCTTTTAGTAAAATGACTGAATTAATCTGTACAGTTAGTTGCAGTGTACATCCTTTCTTTTAAAATCAAAATTGTAGCTTTAGTTTCTTAGCATCTGGGTCTTTCCCAATTCTATGTATTCAACCCAGCACTTCATATGAGCCAAGTTATTTTTTTTTTATGTACTCATATTTAACCATCTCAACTTAGAGACTGGTCAATAATGATCCTGAACCTGATGTCAAGGGAAGACATGGTTACTGATTTCCCTGGCTGAAGTTGCTTCAAGGCTCAAGAATGTCAAGAATAAGAGGGCCAATAAGGGCTCTGTATGGTCCCATACTAGGGGTATTGCCTCAATCTTCACCCCCTAATTTCACACCTTGAGTTGTCACCCTTCTCTACTGCATTAATGTTGTTCCATTTAGTCGAGAAATATTTGGACTTCGGAGTCATAATAATTGTTCAAATTGGTTTTTGTAAGCTGTCTGTATGCTAGCTACTTCAGAGACTCTTGTCGGCCTTTTAGCTTTGCAAGTCAAGCTCGTTCATTTATTTATTTTAAATAAAGCTTCATGTTGTTTTGCCTGGGTTTGGTTAAGCAATGTTGACTTTAGGTAGCAGGAAAAGATAGTGGGAAGGGAGGGTGGTTGAAAAGGAAAAGATGTTTGCATGTTTTGTATTGAAAGTTTCAAACTAGGGATGTGTTAATAATGTATGTATTTTGTTATCTGTAAATGTTAATTTATGTGTTGTTTTTTCATGAGTAATTTTTGTGCCCATGTACAAATTTTATATTACAATTAATAAGAAATTATGATATTTATTATTTTAAATATGATTATTGTAAAATTATCAAATTTAATAATGATAAGTTTTAATTGAAAATAGTATAAAAGCATTATCATGACTTATTTTTTTTAAAGTACAATTTTATAGTTAAAATTAAAAAAACCATTACAATAAATAAATAATGTTCACAATAAAATTATTAATAATATCACAGGGATAACCGAAACCCAATCGGGTCTTACTTACGGTCCAGTTAGGGTTTATTTTATATAAATAAAATATCCTTAAATTAGTTTTTCATGCGTTGGATTCTTCACTTCATTCTATGCAATAACACACAAAAGCAGTGATTGTCGCCATGATAGGACATAAATTGTTGGTGCCCAATTTTCCCACCACATTATCACTTAATACTATATTTCTTTACTTTGGCTAGTTTTCATTTGTCTCGTACATATTATTTTTTAAGTTCTAGAATATTCACAATTTCACATAATTTAAAAGCGAAATATAAAGATAATTTTTTTTTCTTTGTATATTTATCAACAACATCTTTTAAAAACAGTTATAATAAAATATACTTTTAAAATAAAAAATATTTTTAATACAATAATAAATTGTAACAATATTATTATAAAAATACGATAATTAAACACTTTATAAACAAATACATTCTCCATAACAACTACGTATACCCATGAAAAATATTTAATAGAGTAAAAATTTAAACGATGGAAATGTGACATGGACGTGTTTTTTTTTTGTTTTTCCTTCTTAGTTGTAGAAATATACCATCTTTTATTTCATGTGTTGAATGTCACTTTTCATCTTTTAAAATGTAACTTGTATTTTATTCGTAGAAATTAAATACATATTATAAAATTTACAATAATTCTCACCCACTTAATTACCATACTCCCATATAAGATGTAACTTGTAAAAGTAATGGTTATACCTTGTATGTTCTTTGCTTCTTTTAAAGTTGTCAAACACACTAATAATTTTTTTTTCTCAGAAAAAAATGTTTCTTGTTTATATTTATGATTTTGTGATTATTAAATATATTTATAATTGTTTCACTTTTTTTATATTTATTTATCAATAGTCATGTCATTACTTATTGATATTACTAATTATATAGATTTAAGTATATATATTAGTTAAATAGGTTATAATAGAAATATTCTTACATTAAGTGGTAAGTTTAAATGGAAACTTTATATCCATTAAATATGAAAAATAAAATATTTATTTATATATTATTTTTAAGATTTTTATTTATTTTCAATTTATTATTATTTTATATAGTATAATAATTATCTTTTGGTCTTGATTTTGTATAAAAAAAACTAGAATAAATCTTATTTTATTATTCAAGGACGAGGTTAAGGAAATCTCTAGAGTCATAATTCTCCAAATATCAATTTTTTTAAATAAAATTATAATATATATATTAAATAAATATATAAAAAAAATTAATGTTGATTCTCTAATCTTACAAATTAGTTTTGGCTCTTCTCATTATTAAAATATATTATTCTCTTATCTGATAATTGATTTGAGCATTAGATTATTTTTTACAATCCATCATATATTCTTTAAAAAAGATTATTTTCAATAATTTTTAATTTCATAGTTCAAAATTTCAGATGTTATAATTTCCCACACACTGGGTAAGAAAAGAAAAAATTAGGTTAAGTTTGATAGCATGAGTAAAAACTTTGGCAACGTGACATGATTCTTTTATATGACAAGTTTAGAGTTTCAGATGTGGATAGCTTTGTGTCATGATACCCAAACAGAGGGAGACATGAACAATGAAATGGCATTGCAGAGTCAGAAGCAGGTTAGAGAGAGAGAAAGGTAAAGGTGAAAAAATGCACCAAAATTGTGATGATGAATGAGAATATGGAATTTTTTTCACACACCCAAGACGAGAATGGACAAGAAGATTGTTTTATGACATAGCAAATCTACACTTCTTCGCTCTTCTTCTTCATCATACCTAACCATGAATTTTACGAACTGCCATCTAAGATTCCAAAAGATGTCTCAATCACCATACAATCAAGCTTAATTTGAGATTTAAGATGTGTTTCATAATTCTTTTTATAAGTATTTTTTAAATATAAAAAGAAAAAATAAAATGATTTTGTATTCATTAAAATTAATTTATGCATAAATTAATTCTAATATATAAAATATATATTAACTATTATATTTTTCTCTTCAAAAATATAATAGTTATGGTCTTTCAAGAATGTCAAAAACTATGACAGATTCGTCAAATAACCTTGATTCATCTTTTTCTTTCCTTATGTGCCTATTGGTCAAAACACATTTTATCTTAAAATATGATCAAACAATTTAATGTAAAAAAAAAATGTAATAAGTAGGGGAAATGAATATTGTATTTTTGAGGAGGGTCAGTGAATTATAATAAACTTGATTCTCAACTACAAAGAGTTAAGAGACGAGACTTTGATGAGTTTTGATTTGTAAATACACTAAAGAAAGTATTAAAACTAAGGATCTAATCAAAATAGTAAAGTAATGCATTAAAATTGGGGAAAACTATGAAAATAGTTATTAATTCTCCAACCATCCTTTTACTCCTTTCATTATCATTGATTTCTATATATCACAAGATAAATCTATAAGAATTTTAAACATTTATTATTCAATTAATAAATTACATTTAATTAACCTAAAAACACAAATCAATGAAGTAATTGCATAAACCTAGAAATTAATTCATGGTATAATATGAAAATTTTAAATAAATAATCTTAATTACATTGATTATAAAGAATTTTAATAAAAGAAAACTAGAATAGGATTGGTAAACCAAGCCTAGGAAACTAGAAATCCAAAGTGCAAAAAAAAAGTAAAAGGAGCGAAGAAAAACAATACAAAAATTGTAAATTGCGAGAAAGTAAATGAAAGAGATAAAGAAAAGAAAAAAAAAACAAATATGATCTAATGTATCTTGAATCGTATACTTGAAATGTAAAATTCATATAGAACTTGAAAAGTTTACACTATGAACATGAGAGAAAATTAGAGAGAAATTTGAAAGTGATGAAGATCTTATTGAATCATTTGATAAAACGAAGATTTTGTTCATTTGCTGAAATCAAAGGTTATTCTGTTGCAGTCAAAGGTTACTTGGTTAAAAATATAGAGTGATTAGGGAGTCTGCATCTATACATAGGTATAATCATTCATATCTCTCTGTTGTATGAGGTTTCATCATTTAAAAGATTTTGCAAATGCCTCTAAACGTGTTTAACCTGTTAAAAACCAAAGTAATCGGTTAAATGGTTTTTAAGTAATTGTTTTAACTGATATTATATGAGGTTTATCAGTTAAAATGTTCTTAATACTTACATAACAAGTTTTTAACTGATAGGTTTTCGAAATAATCGATTAAAACCTTTTAAAACATACACTGGAACTGTTTTAATCGATATATCTTCGAATTAATCAATTGTTTTCATTAAAGGAGTTTTTGAAAACCTTATGCCAGTATTTTAACTGATGTAGATTCGAAATAATCGATTAAAATGACTTAAAATGTTTTGGTATGTGTTCTGACAGTATTTTAATCGATACAAACTCGAAATAATCGATTAAAATAACTTGAAGTGTTTTGAAAGATGTTCTGTCAGTATTTTAATCGATGTAAATACGAATTAATCAATTAAAACCACTTGAAAGTTTTTGAAAGAAGTTCTGTCAGGATTTTAATCGATGTGTTATCAGTTAAAATGACTTAGAAAGTTTTATGAAACTATTTGACAAGATTTTAATCGATTAAAATGGGAAATAATCGATTAAAACAACTAAAATATTTTTTCAAAGTGTTTTAATCGATTAAAACATACTGTTATCAATTAAAATTACTTAGAAAGTTTTATGAAAACATTTGGCAGTATTTTAATCGATTAAAACAACTTAAGGGATTTTTTACAAAGTGTTTTAATCGATTGAAACGATGTTGCATCAGTTAAAACAAATCTGAAACATGATCAAGAATATTTTAACAGATTAAAAGAAGTTTTAACAGATTAATTCAAGACTTTTAACAGATTAAAAGATTGTTTTAACAGATTAATTAAACCAGCAGTT